AGCTTTCAGGGAGCGTGGGAGCCTCCTCTGGAGAATTTCATGTATGTGTGTTGCATTAGTGTGTGTGTGTGTGTGTGTGTGTGTGTGTGTGTGTGTGTGTGTGTGTGTGTGTGTGTGTGTGTGTGTGTGAGCAGCTTCTTTTTAAATCAACTCCCATTGTTTTAGCCCATCTATGATCTTCTCTTAAAAAAAGAGGAGGTATTTTTTATTTTTTTTTAAGAAGACATCTATTGTGTACCAAGAACTGTCACTCAGGTGTGGGTCTATCTGTGGAAATGTGAGGCATCTTTTGAAATTGCTCTCTGAGGGAAATTGGAAGTGGATATCAAAAATAGTTGAGCGGAATGTGCCTTTTTAGATAAGGCGCCCAGGGTGCCTTTTGCCTTCTAGGAGCCAACCGCAGCATTTACATCCATATGACACCTCAGGCAGGAATTTAAACAAATGCTTCCCTCCGCGTGTCGAGCTATCTCTCGCTTTATTGCTGTCATTTTCACCCCCGCCCCTCTCCTTCCCTTTGCTTCTCTTTTCCTCTTTCAGCTTTAAAGCGGAAACAAATCTCTATCTCTTTCCATCCCGCTTCTCTCTGTTACACACTGCTGAACTTATCCTAACATTTTCTTTACTGCGCTCACATCTTCTGTGAGCGCTGGATCCTTTCTGGTCTCTCCTCACACAATCCGCTGTTTGTAAGAGCTTCTTTCCATCCCTTGTTCTCCTGTCTCACTTTTCCCCCTCTTTCGGCAGACTCTTAAGGATATTGCCTAATAGCTATTTATAGATTGTCCCTTTAAATAGTGGGAAAAGTAGCGGAAAGGAAAAGCTCATACGGCTTCAAATTAGGTGAAAACCTTTTTCTGTCTGTGACTTCAAACTCTTCAACAAGGTATTTTGATGTTTTGCTAATGTTGAAAAAAAAAACACAATTTTTTGCAATTGCGGTGTCCTAAGAGACGAGGTTCATTGGAGCCAGCAAGCTTTTTACCATGTGTGCAATGTTTTTTTTTTGTTTTGTTATTTTTTGTGATGCAGTTTCGCGACCTGACTGTCTGACAGGACAGCCTGCCGCTTCTTCTGTCTGACTGTGACATCTGCTGCGCTCTTCCTGAGATTCTCACTAAGCCTCTGGGGTTAAACAAGAAACTATTAAAATCACACTGATTAAAAGTTTGTTCACGCAAGAAGTCAATGAAAAACATGCCCCACCATCATCCTGTTGTTTTCTTTGGTGATCGCTTGATTGTTTTGGTGGAAAAAATATATTCCATTACAATTTTATGGAATATGCTAATATCAATACAGTCGAAAAACCACCTCATTCTTGCACAGCAACTTTTTTATAAAAAAATATGTTCTTTTAATTTGTGCCTTTCCGTTAAGCAAATGTATTTTCATAATTCCAATTTGCGCAATAACATGGTCAATGGAAACGCAACCAGAGATGCAAGTCAAAGCTAGAAAATGTACCGCAGAACACTCATGGTCACACACAGACACACCCACAGAGGCGCAGACACACACTCAGCCTCACAAACACAAAGCGGCCTCTGTGTGGTGCCCTAAATCGCCGGCCGGCAGCCCAAACCGTGTTTCCTGTCCAGCTTAACCACAAAAGGCAATAACACACAACCCTAATGTCACCGCTGTTAATCACACACACATGAATGCATGCATGCAGGGGAAAAGAAAAAACGAAGAAAGAAAAAAAAAAAACGTCCTGCGTTTTGAAAAGCAGAAGACGGAGGCCAACTCATTCGGCCTCTGGGAGAACCATCCTCTCGCTTTTCTTTTCTTTGCTCATCCACCCAAAGCTTTAGTCATCACTCCTCATACTTTCCTCATACTTTCGACGTTCTATTTATGCCTTAACACTGGGTAAGTGGGTAAGAAAAGGACAGCGAGAGGAAAGGGAAGAAAGTCTGCTGCTGTCTGGCTCTCGAAGCCTAAACGGCTCGTGGGAAAAACTCGAGTGTTGCTTCAGAGAAAGAAAAAAACAAAAAAAAAAAAAAGAGGCAAGAAAGACAACGATGGGGGAGCAGAGAGAGAGAGGAAGAGAGAGGAGAAGTGCATCCGGCGGATGGTGAGTCGGATCCCCCGGTGCTTCGCGAGAGGGATAATGTTTATTGAGCGAGGGGACAGTGTTTTTTACCATTGTTGAGCCGTGCCTCTGTTTGTGCCACATTTGTTAAGCAATCCATAAAGGAGTCGCGGCATTTGTCTCACTGTCAGCGACTTGGCCTGCCCTTGCAAAGCAGACCCACACACACACACACACACACACACACACACACACACACACACACACACACACACACACACACACATACACACACACACACACACACACACCCCACACACACACACACACAAGCTTATTCTCTCGCACACATCCACAGACTCCCATCTGGCTTTGAAAGTCTCCCAGCTCGCCCCCAAACTGTCCCGGCCATTTCCCCCCTCGCTACCTGGGGAGACAGAGATTTTGTTGTAGATCCTGACACCTTCTTCTATTGTGCGTTGTGGAAAGATGGAGGATTTTTTCTTTTTCTGTGACTGTGTGCACTCCAGGCAGGGTGGATGATCAAATAGGATGAGAGCGTGGAAATGAAAGTGCAAGCAACATCCATGCATGGTGACCTTTAAGAACACCACCCTACTTTTCACACTCTTTACGCACAACTTCAAAAAATGTGAAAGATCTCATTTACTAGCATTTTAGTACAATTGATTACTGTTTAAAAATGTTTTAAACATTTGCTTGTTAAGATGATTCTGATGCATCACTTTCTGCAAAGCAGCGTTGCAGTGATGGGAAATTAGGGGTGGCGCTTTTTGTAGTTTACGCACAACGACTGGCTGTGTTTTTGATGACCTGAAGCACTTCTGCAGAGACAGCCTTCTCACAGCAACAGGTGGGGGAGAGGGAGCAATGAACACACAGCCAAAGATCCTTCGGTAACTCAGTCCGATAAACGGGACTTTAAAAAGATTGAAAAACGATAAGATTTTTACGTTTGGGTCTCAGTCTATTCAGACGCCGATAACCGGCTCGTATCGAGCTCTGTTGGTGTTTCTCTGCTCTCCTGACACTGGAATGCACCCTGCTGACATTTGACCTCCACCCGATGACCCCCATGTCATATGACCCAACTCTAGTTAGCCTGGAAGGTAAGAGGTTGCAGGGGGGACACCTTTGTCCGCACTCACACACACACACGCACTTTCCTTCTCCTTCCCGGTCACTTCTGACACTGAAGCTCTTCTCATCACTCTCGCTTTCTTTCATCCCGTCCTGTCTGAGCCAAAACCACCACAACGGGAAGAACAAACGCAGCCTGTGCAGAAACCCCCCGAGGGTCAGCTGATCAACCTGGGCCGGGGCACTTTAGCATTCTCCTTTGGTATTTTTCTGTCTTTCCCTTCTTTTTTTTTCTCTACCCCCCCCCTCATTGCTTCACGGATGGAGACACGGTTATCAAGGCTCTCTGGGGACAGACAATATGGCCTAGACAATGGACTCCAATCCGATGTGGTGGGTGGGAGGGGACGAAAGGGAAGGCGAGGGAGGGCGAGACAGGGCCACAGGGGGAGAGAAGAGGAGAACGGTGAATTAGTTTGCAGAGCACGGACATTCTGCTCAATTACTCCACTCTCACAAATTCTCTGTCTTCTTCTTCTTCTTCTCTCCCCCCACCACAAGCCCCAGCTCAAACTGCCTTAATCTCACCCGCACCTCGTTCCTCCACACACACACACACTTTTACATGAAGTACAGCAACACTTAAGCTGGAAGCAGAACTGCTCACTCAAAATTAGAAACAAGTGATCAACAGCTGCAAAAACGGCATCGAAAACGAACATGTCTCATAACTTGGCCAACACAAAATTCGAAGAGTTTGAAGTTTCACACAAAAACATCCGGACGACAAATTATAAAGCACTAATTGAGAGGATTTCACCTGTTTTTTTATTTGATCTTACAGCATTTTACTGCTAATCGTGCTAATATCGTTTAATCATATATAACAATACGTCTTACTTTATGAATTGCTAATTGTCCATTTGGGTTAGGATCCAAATCTGAAAGGCAAATAAAGCTGCAGCTGTCACAGCACTTTACGCGAGGCGATGAAATGAACTTCCATCTCCGAGGCTACATTTTAATTACTAATAATGAGACTTTTTGTGTCACTGAAATCCAGACAATTCCTCTGGGCTCTTAGCGGCGCTCTGATGTCAGATTGGATACCAGCGTTGTCCCGCTTAAACCGTTCAAAGTGTTGACATGTCCACTGCTGACACACACACACCTATAAACCGAGGGGGGACAAATGGAGGGGTGTGAAAATCCACCACCGCCTTAACACCACCCTGACAGAGACCTCTTCCTCTCCTCCTTATAACCCCCCCACCCCACCCCCCTCCCCACAAACACACACACCTGCCCCTCTGTTCACTTTATCTGTGGCACTCTCACTTTTCTGTAAAAACCTGCTTCAAATGTCTGCTGGTGAGGAATGTGTCAGTTTGACCACATCATCCCTTCTCCCCTTCATCTTGCTCTCTCCTCCACCTACGGCTACAATTTCAAATCTTTTTATTCTGTCGTTGTTATTATTATTTTCTCCCTCCGTCTCTGTTTTGGTCGCGTTGGTATTCTCCTTTTCTTTCTCGTCGTGTGTTTTCAGTGTGCAAGGGACAAGGCCGCACTTGCAGGTTTGACTCATTTCAACCGTGCGTCAAAGTTCTGCAGCACAGCAGAAAACTAGAAACATCTATTTCTGATGAGAAAATAAGAGCCATCAATTTCTTAAGCATGTAAATGTTGAAAGGCGAAGAATAAAATTTGTCTGATTAATTAAAATGTTAACTTCCTACTCTTCAAACTAAGACAATATTTATTAAACACCTTAAAGAGTGTCAGCCTGAAACTTTAACAACATTTTCAATAACTTACAAATGAGCAGAAGAGGGAGAAGAAGAAGCAAGCGGACACTTACTGTAGCGCATGAACTGAGAGCATCACTGCAAACCTTTGGGGCTGAATTGCACACACACACACACACACACACACACACACACACACACACACACACACACACACACACACACACACACACACACACACACACACACAAATGCACACAGGAGTACAGTGGAAGATACCCCCACTCTCTCTCTTTCCGTCTTGTGCGCACACATCCAAATATGAACATGCAGAGGCTCTGCAACACGGCCGGAGCCGCGGTGATGGAGTGCATTACTGGAAAGCAAGAGTTTTAAGCGCTCTCCTCCTAAGTCATTGTAATCCCTGCATTTATCTTCATACATTCTGCTTTTTTGTGTGTAATCCTTTAAATGTTTAATTCCTTCTAGCTGTTGTTATCTGTCCCTCTCGTTCTCTTTTCCTCCTCGACCACTTTGCGAGGATTGAACGGTTTATTAAAAACACGTTTTTGCCACTTCTAAATATTTCGCCTCCACGGAAATCCCAACCCCCCAAAACTACCCCCCCCCCCCTGAAATCCACACCGCCGACCCCAGTTTATCTCAGAACAAAAAGATTAGTTTCATCATTGCAAAAACAGAGAGTTGAATGGAATCAAAGTCGAGAGTGAGCGGGAGAGAAAGCAGAGAGGAAAGAGCGGTGTTAACCATGTTATGATATGTGTGAGTTAGAATTAAAATGTATTAGAGCATAATCTGCCTCTCACAGTATTAGGATCAAACAAGCATTATTGCATGGGCGAAAGCCACTTGTGTTGACAGTGCAAGGTTAGAGGGTTCACACCTCTAAATGAAGGCAGGCCTGCACAAACAACAGAGGAGCACAGTGAGATTAATATTAGCATAAGGCATAACAACGAGAAGAGCGTACAGATTGAGAACAGGATTAACGGAGGGGTTTGTTTTCATGCGCTGAGTTTGGATTAAAACAACAAAAAAATACCCCCCCCCCAAAAAAATAAAATACATTTATAAGATGAGGCAAATCCTGATTGGAAAAATAGTAATAATAAAAAAAACCCCAGTGAAACTTGAGGAGGATGGGGGGGAAACAAAAAACAGATTCAGCTGAGCATTTCCATGCACTTGCGAGCGTCTGACTGCGCCTAAATATACCCGGCTGCTGCAGAAGGAGACGCATGAGCGCTGACAGGGAAGCAGAAGTAAATAAAGTTGTAGCGAGAAGCGGAGATGAGACGTCGAGAGGAGATGATCGCACATTCCGACTGACACGTTTCGCCTCGTCCTTCTGATTTGTGCTCGTTTGGGTTATTTGTTGATTTCATTCTTTTTTTGCAGTTTTTTCCGTGGAGGTTTCGAACGACCGCAAGTTTTACTCAGGACGGACAGAAAAAGAGTGAGGGGGCGACGCCGGACAGGCGGACAGAGGGGAGTGGGAGTCATCTGTCACCGAAGCTTAAACAAACACATCCCCGGACATATATTGCTCCAGCTTTGCATATGTTATCTGAACTAAAAGGATAGGGAGTGAATCATCAACTCTGTCTTAACATTTCATCTCACAGTCAGAGTCAAACTCCGCTCAGACAGTTACTTTGCGCACACGCTGACCCAGTCTTGTTTTCACACACTTTACACATTCACGGCTATTTGTCTTTGAATCGTCCCCTCGCTGAATCCCGGGTCCGCTCTTCTTTCTGTCATCTCCATGCGAATGTGTGTGTTTATATTTATATGTCTGTCTGTGCGTGTGTGTGTGTGTGTGTGTGTGGAAGTGTGTGAGCGGCAGAACGTGTCACGTACCTGTTACACTCCTGAGGTAGCTCAGGCTCAGTGAGCATGCTGGAGTAAGGGTCCGTCTCTCTCGACAACAACAACATAAAACAGTCCGACAATGCTTCAGATGAACAAGGTTAGTCTCCCCCAAAAACAAGACGGGATTGAAGTGATCCTTCAACCTCTCACACACACTGCTGTTTCTCTCTCTCCCTCTCTCTTGCTCTCGCTCTCTTTCACTCTCTCTCTCTCTTTCTCTCTGCTCACACACTTCCAGCCCTCACACCCTCCCTCGCCGTCTTTCTCGGTGCCTCTGTCCCTCCTCTTCTCCCTCCCTCGCTGTAAGCTGTGAGATCTGGGCTCAGCTCTTAAAGGGACAGCAGCCGAGTCTCCCTCGCTCAGACGAGACGGAGAGAGAGAAAGAGAGAGAGAGAGAGTGTGTGTGTAAGCAAAAGGGAGGGTCTACTTGACCAGCGGGCTCGTCAGTCCATCAACGCAAATGCACAGCGGTGCTGCCCCCTTCCTCAGGTCCATCCTTCATCCTCCCCCCCGAACAGAACACAGTTTACAGAAACTTTAAAGTAAATAGCCAGAGGTGTGTTTCCCTTTCTACCATTGTACATTTTTAATAAAAACACCAGGATCCAAAAATGATAAATTTGCCGTGCAGGATATCAGCTAACATACTAAGTTTTGCAAAAACAAAAAACAGCATCTCTCCCCAGCAACCTTCACCAATGTCATAAGGCTGGGAAGCTGATGGCTAGAATAATTCTGAACAAGGAGAGCTGACACAAAGATCCAAGTTTCAGGGCGATTTGGTGGTTTTAGTAACATGCTGCCAAACGAGCGACTTTAAGCAGATTCTGGCGAGGATTGTGAGGCAGAATCTGCTGTGGGAGAAAAACCCCCAAAAGACTTTTCTCTAGTTTTACATGTTTGAGCCACAATGTGACCCTGACAGCCATAAACAAGCAGCGTTGACGACGTCAACCGTCTTCAGGACCTAAATTTTGATGTTTTCCTTTTTTTTTTTGTGACCGTTGGTACGTAAAGCTGCTTTCACATCAATTGTGAGACGCATCATAAAGCTGACACAAAGCAAGTACACATAAACAGAGCTCTTTATTCTGTAAAACTGAGTCAGGGGCTCAAATTGTGTCTGACAGATGAGAGAAAAGCTTAAAAATAATTGAAAAATGCAAACTTGGCTACAATGGAAGATAGTTGTATTCGTTTATTGAGAAAAGCCACATAAAAACTTTTTTAAAAAAGTCCAAGTTAGCTTGAAAGATCGATATTGGGCTGTTGGGTGAAAGTAATCATATTCAGCTACAGTGATGAAGCAGAAAAAAGCAGGACTGAACCAAAAGTTTGCCAGCATTTTGAAACAACTGAAGCAACTTCATGGCAAATGTAAACACCAATGGTATTGAAGGAAAATGAGTGCATGTCCAAATCCTACTACACTGATTGGCATTCAACCAGTCTCTAAAAATGTCTGGAACTTCCTATGGTAATTGTTTACACACCAAATATACTTTAAAATAAACAGTCTTGGCACTAGATCCACTATGTCTCTGCTCTAGAGGGACCAGCCAATCAGAGCTCAGCTTTTTAAGTAGCTTTGTGCCTCGGTATTTCAGCTTCCCAAGCTGCATTTTGTAGGTGCATACTGAACCAGGACTTCAGTGGAGCTTCACAACCCTACTTACGCAGAAACGGGATATTTCTCAGAATGTTTCCTCGAAGGAACTGCAATTTTTGAAACATATGCAATTAAGAAAAACAAAAAAAGTATAAACAAATATCAGTAATTTCAAAGAATTCGTCAAATATGTTTTTGTGTTTGTGATGAAAATGAAATGTCCCTGGTTGGCCTCTGAAATCTAACCACTGACTTGCGCTACAAGTTATATATGTCATCGATTGGCTTTTCTCTGAAAGCCTTTTTATCTGGCCCGACCAATCTATTAAACCTACAACATTCTGTTTCAGACACTAAGCTCTTTTACATTTTGGTTCCTCGTGCCTTAAATCAGACACACCCGAAACAAAGATGAAAGAGCAACAGGATGTGTGACATTGGGCATTCGGGGTCGGACTGTCGATGAAGTGAGCATAACAAACGAGGCTGAACGCTTCAGACAAACGGAGGGGAGCTGAAAAAGACATTTAGTTATCTATTTTACTTTTATTTTGCTATCTGCCACTGCGTGGCTGGCCGCTGAAAATACATTCAGCTGCTTTCGGTTCAATGTTCATTTTAACGTAAACGGCAAATAAACATGATGGAAAGGTTAACAGGGCATTATGGACGCTAACACATTTACTGGATGCCTGAATTGAAAGGTTTATGTTGTCTCTAGTAATGCCTTGCACTAACCCGTGCTTAATTGGTTAACTTGTGTTGTTCCTTCCTCTTTCACTGTCCCTTTGGTTCCAGCGCGTTAGCGAAGCAAAGCCGTTTTGTGCTCAACTTTGATACACATCATGCTTTTCACATGATTGGCTATGCTAACGGAATAAAGCGGCAGAACAGTGGATGTGAAACAAACCTTGAAACGAGATTAATATAAGGTATCCTGAGGTTCAAGCCTTTGGATTCCTAACAATGCCGTCTTGAAAAAGGTCAGCCATGTTGCCTTTGAAATGATTTCTTAGATTATTTGCTTTCAGTGTAGGAGTAGATAGATGTAAAATAGGGGGTGAAAGATGCCGATCAGAGTTCTCTCCGACCATGTATATGTTTTAGCCACATGGCTCTGCGCACACTTTGACGCTTTAAAATCAACTAAATGGCATTTCTAATGCATTTAACAGAATTAATGATGGACCTCTGCATGTTATTACGTTCCTGTCATTACGATTTAACACTGACGTGAATGTGAAGGGGGGGAAGCCCCTCGTACACCGTGGCCACTTGCCAAATATCAAACGTAATGAACCTGAATTCATGCTCTCTTGAGGCAATCTTGAGATAAATGTCACTTTATTACTGCGCGAGCATTAATGTCAACATGTTTGAGTAATCCATCTCTGTCAATTTATGCAGTTACTTTTTTTTTTTTTCCTCTGCTGTGCCTAAACACGGTTGGAAGATTTGTTACCATTAGCTCAAACGGCATTAAGTGACTTTTTTTCCTTCCTTTTTTTTCACTAAAAAATATACATAGACAATCATTTCTTCGCTTTTTCTTCAAACCTGCAGTGATCTGCAGATTTGATCCTCCAGGAGCACAGCTGAACTCGCCCAGCACGGCTCAAGCTCAAGATAAATACAAACACGCTCAGACAGCACACATATGCAACCTGACTGAAACCTTGACCAATCCACCACACCCTGCATGTCCTCAGGTGTATGTGTGTGTGTGTGTGTGTGTGTGTGGTACATGCATGTGTCTGTGCTAGCAGTGCATGCTGCTTTCAGCCCTTAGTGCTGTCAGTCATTATTAAGGGTGTGTGGTCTGTGTGTCACACATATGGCCAATCCAGCTATTGTTCTGGAGCTCAGAGAAAAGCAGAGCTGACAGGCTGCCACTTCTGCCGTACTTTAAAAAATACACGCAAGCACGCACAGACACACAAATTGAGTAGAGAAAGGCAGTCATCTCTTAAGGTGGAAACTAGGTGCGCTTCAAATGCACAGGTTATGCCTCAATCATATTTTGGTTGCTTTTTTTATACTTCAACTGAGTGAAAAGGTAGATTTACA